TCATGTTGGTAATCCGAGCGGGTCATGAAGTCTCAGGCGGGAGCTCCCCCCCTATGGGGCCCGCAGATCATGTTGGTAATCCGAGCGGGTCATCGGAATTTTGTAACTGTCGTCACTTTTGGGCTCCTCAAGCCTGAAGATGGAGGAAGTCTCAAGCGGTTTTGCCCAGGGCGGAGGCGAAGCAGCTCGCGGCAGAGCTGGGTTTCGTGCTGCCTTCCGCCTGAGCGCGGCTGCGCCTCGCTCGAAGCCCGCGGGGTTGTCCCAACGGCTTGGTCTTGCGCGCCAACGGCTCGCGGGGTTGTCCCGACAGCCTGGCCCGCGGGGTTGTCCCAACGGCTGCGCGACGTGACCAGTAGAGAACGCGCCTGTGCTGGCCGTGGCGGCGACGGCGCCGAGGAACATCGACATGCGCGCTCATGCAACAGGAAGGGGAGGAGGTGGCGGGGCGCGGAACAAACAGGGGGGCGAAGATGGGGACAACGTAAGGAGTGGAAGGGGGGCCCGCGCCAAGGCGACAGGAAATATACGCAGAAGAGACAGCCAGGACGCCTCACCAACCACGAGGACGACGGTGTTTTTTTTTTTTTTTTTTTTTTTTTTTTTTTTTTTTTTTTTTTTTTTTTTTTTTTTTTTTTTTTTTTTTTTTTTCAAGATTCGCCCAGAGGATTCTTATGTGGGGTTCTTCCGTCGGAGTAATTATTATCATTATTATTATTAATAGTCGTAGTAGGAATAGTAGTCGCAGTTGTAGTAGTAGTAGTAGTAGTAGTAGTAGTAGTAGTAGTAGTAGTAGTAGTAGTAGTAGTAGTAGTAGTAGTAGTGATCGTAGTAGTCGTAGTAGTAGTACTGGTACTGGTACTGGTACTAGTAATGGTAGTAGTAGTAGTAGTAGTAGTAGTAGTAGTAGTAGTAGTAGTAGTAGTAGTAGTAGTAGTAGTAGTAGTACTAGTAGTAGTAGTAGTAGTAGTAGTAGTAGTAGTAGTAGTAGTAGTAGTAGTAGTAGTAGTAGTAGTAGTAGTAGTAGTAGTAGTCGGAGTAGTAGTAGTAGTAGTCGTAGTAGTAGTAGTAGTAGTAGTAGTAGTAGTAGTAGTAGTAGTAGTAGTAGTAGTAGTAGTAGTAGTAGTAGTAGTAGTGGTAGTGGTTGTGGTAGTAGTAGTAGTAGTAGTAGTAGTAGTAGTAGTAGTAGTAGTAGTAGTAGTAGTAGTAGTAGTAGTAGTGGTAAAAGTAGTAGTAGTTAGAAGTAGAAGCGTAGCGTAGTAGTCGTAGTTCGTAGAGCCGTAGTAGGTAGAAGTAGTCACAGTAGTAGTTGTAGTTGTAGTAGCAGAAGGTTAATGGTATAGTAATAGTCGTAGTAGTCGATGTGTAGCGTAGTAGTAGTAGTAGAAATAATAGAAGTAGTAGTAGTAGTAGTAGTAGTAGTAGTAGTAGTAGTAGTAGTAGTAGTAGTAGTAGTAGTAGTAGTAGTAGTTGAGTAGTAGTAGTAGTAGTAGTAGTAGTAGTAGTAGTAGTAGTAGTAGTAGTAGTAGTAGTAGTTGAGTAGTAGTAGTAGTAGTAGTAGTAGTAGTAGTAGTAGTAGTAGTAGTAGTAGTAGAAGTAGTAGTAGTAGTAGTATTAGTCGTAGTAGTAGTAGTAGTAGTAGTAGTAGTAGTAGTAGTAGTAGTAGTAGTAGTAGTAGTAGTAGTAGTAGTAGTAGTAGTAGTAGTAGTAGTAGTAGTAGTAGTAGTAGTAGTAGTAGTAGTAGTAGTAGTAGTAGTAGTAGTAGTAGTAGTAGGAGGAGGAGGAAGAGAGGAGGAGGAGGAGGAGTAGGAGTAGGGGTAGTGTTGTTATTCCCCACATCCAAAGTGGGGTTCTTGTTTTCTCTGGACACCCCGCGCAGGAACAGGAACACACACACACACCCACTCACACTCACTCACACTCTCTCATCATCAACCTCATCAGCATCATCGATTATGCTCTCTCACATGCTTAGTCACTCACA